CGCGCGCACCTCGAGCGGCACCCGCGCGTGCTCGAGCGCGAGGTCGAACGCGTCCGGCCAGCGCAGGCCGCTGCTCACCACGCACCCGAGCGGGAGCAGCTGGCTCAGGAAGAGCGTCACCGGCTCCGCGCGCGCGATCGCGGAGAGCCCGACCGCGAGCGTCTCCAGCCGCGCGAACCGCGCCAGCGTCGCTGGTGGCGGGATCGCGAGGGCCGGGGGCTCGCGGGCATCCATGTGCAGCGCGAGATTGCGGAGGTTCGGGCAGTGCCGCGCGAAGGGGACGAGTGCGAGCAGGGTGAGGCGCGGGCCGTCCGGTTCGGGTACGGGCTGTGGATTGAGCTGCAGGCCCTCGAGGGAGGGCCAGCTGCTGGCGAACTCCTCCATGTCTTCGTCTGTGAGATTGAGCGCGTAGTCCCACCGGAACTCAAAGACACGGATCGAGCGGGCGGAGAATAAGGGGCGGAAAGTAGCGAGCGTTGGACGTTCGTGGGGATGGGGCGCGGGCGACGTAAGGCCCGAGTCTGGCGCGATGATATAGTCCACGGAGAGATCCACCAGGGATGTACATCGGTCCCGCACAACACAGAAGAAGTCGTGCAGCGCGAGGGTGGTCGTAATCGCGATAGTCTTGATGTGTAGGCTCCGGAGCCGGATAGGCCATTGGGTGGTGCACAGGAGACGAGCTGCGTCCGGCAGCTGGGCGCTGAACGCGAGGCTGCGGAGGGCGACAAAGCCTTCCTCGGGGATCGTCGGTGCAAAATCGGAAACGTCTCTGCGGTCCCCAGGCTGAGCCTGCGCGGGGTGTCCGAATGCTATGCATGCAACATGGCGGAGCCTTGACAGCTCAGCGAGCACTTGTGGCGTCAGGGAAAAGATAGGCAAGGATACCTGCGTTACCTGGGGCAGGCCACGGAGCAGGAGGAGGACGTCTTCTTCGAACTGCCTCATTGGCTGTTCGAGCCTGAGCTCGAGACTGGTGAGTCCAGGGCATCGTGTGCAGATGTCGTTGAGAAACGCTGTCAACGCTTTTGGTTCGGAGCGGTACATGTGCAGGCCAAGGTGTCTTACGCGCCGGTGCATGAAAATTAGACTGAAGTGCTGCCTTTGGGGGGCGCACGAGAACCAGGTCAGGGATTGCAGGTTGGGGAAGATGTCGGGATAAGGGCATGTCGTTGACAGGTCGTCGAAGACCTTGGGGTGTAAAGGCACGTGTCGTTTGGCGCGTTCGGTCGACGCGCGGGCGTGGCGTTGATCGTGTCGCAGACGGCGAACTCTGAGCGAATAGCGCTGGAAGCGACGCCAGTCTTCCGCTGTGAGCGGACGTTTGAATGCCTAGAAGGGCCGGGTTTGAACCAGCACGGAAACGGTAAGTGTGGCTAAGCACCCACATAGGCATTTGGGGAGCGGCTGCTGGAGGCCGAGCCGCGTTCTGGCCTGAGCGCGAGCGGTGCTAGGACAGCAAGAGCCCGTCTGAGGTCGGTGACCTCATGCCAGAGGGAGTCGAGGGCAATGTCTGACCAGTGCTTGCAGACACAGGCGGCGCGGGTGAGGGTACGGCCATCGAGGTGGGAGAATATCATGACGAGGAGCTCGTCGATGTGGCCGACGGTGCGGGCGTAGTGTGTGTCCATGGCGTGTGTGGGTCGGCGTGGGGAACGAGCGGCGGATGTCGAGGGAGAGACGGGGGACAGACTGGAGAAATTGCCGGTCTATATACCGAATTCTGTCCCACGGGGGATAGACACCGATAAGACCCCGAGATCTCCTTTTCATCAGAGGAAGCTGGCCCGCACTGATCTGAATCTCCCCCAGTCATCTTGGTTCAGAAAGAGGACGGGGCCTGCTCCGTTGAGTGGACTGATTTTGCAAGCGAATTGTGTCCAGTGTGTCCGATTGTGCGGGCATAAACCAGCACGACGCTCAGCCATGCGTAGCGAAGAACCCAGACAAGCAGGCCAGACCCTCAGGCCTCAACGTTCGTGGGAGCGAGCGGCGATGAGAGAGACCATGGCCGCCGTAAGACAGCGGAGCTTGGGCAGGCATCCGGCGCTCAAAGGGCCTGCACACAGGTTAGGGTTAACGGCGTCGTGTTCTGGCTCGGTGCTTGTCCCCGAGCCTCACAACTTGTATACGACCGATGATAATCGATAATCCTTCCTCACATTGTAGCCGTGGGCGTCCGGGGACTCGATGGGCCGCCGAGGGGTCGGCAGAAAGACAGATGAACGCCGGAATACGACACAGATCGCCCGAGATCTTTATTCACCGGCCAAGCGTGCGCCCTCAAACGTTTGAACTCCGAAGCCGGCCGGCGTCCAATCTTTCGGCTTCGGGATTTAAACCCTTTCCGGCATCTATTGCCCTCCTCACGAACAACACCGCCGTCTCAATATTGACCGTCATCACTCTCGGTCACCCCGCAGCTGCTGCTGACTCCTCCTCTCGGGCTTGCCTTATGCATCCCATCCCACTGTCCACTGAGCACTTGGCGCGGCCTTGACTCATGGGCAGCATCACATTAGCCTTTGGATTCTTGGTGCGACACTCACGTCCTGCTTGGCATGGTACTGTGCCGTCCGTCAACGTCTCCGGGTGCTAATCGAACCATGCTATCGATGGTGCCGAACAAAGGCCCCCAGGGCGCGGCGGTATGTAGAAATATTCCCACTAATGATTTACAAATCGAGCACCCTCCCGGAATGCCAAGTGTACACGTATAAGCCGCAGCAGGCGCATGGTGCACCGTGCCCTGCAGGATGACGCCGTGTGTTCTGATAGATCCTTTGGCACAGTGCCGGCCACTCAGAAGCACCCAGGCTCAGGATCCCAGCTGCCTCATGTGCAACCGCATGCAAGATAATTGTCCTCGCCCCGCCTCGCCACGTCCAATTTCAGTCCCACCATGTACCAGGGGATCTGACTGGTGATATTTTGGCAGATGATCCGTGCTCAAAACGACTCGTACTGTGTCACATCGAACGGCTTGCACTTAGCCGCCCTCGGTTGCCCACGAACCAGCCGTTGGGGAAAGTCCGGGAGGAACCCAGCCGTAGCAAACCGATTCACGGACAGAGCAGGCTAGCGGTGAGAACATCCCGTTTCTCACAGCGCGAGCTTGGGAGAGACATTACGATCCCCCCCTGACGGAGTGGTCACCAGGCATGGCAGATCAACTTCCGGCGCGCCTTCACTAGATGCGGCATCGACGTCTTGCTGCCCCACCGCATGCATCGAATGTTTGTCCTATGGCCATCCTGAGCGTCATCTAACGACGCATGGCGCATGTATGATCAGAAGTGCTGCTAGTGTCTGGTCGCAATCGTTACACCATACCTGCCCAATTGCTGCATGGCCTGTTGCTGACTCCCTTTGGTAGACGTCCTTTTGCCCAGATAGTCTGTCTCGAACCGGGGCCTTGACCCGCATGGAGTACCAAGGAGGATCCAGTTCGTCCCATGCCACTGATTCTGGCGCATCCCCGGATGGACCCGGTCGTCGCGGATTCGGCGTACCCATCCACCTGGGTCTTCTGGAGAGAACCTATAATCCGGGGGAAAAGAGCGGCCCACTCCATGTGACTGGAAAAGCAAACTGCAACACCCACCCACGCCTGCATGAACCCGAGTCCTCGGGGTCGCGCCGCGGCGTGCGACTTGCTCAAGTCCTCGGAGCCATCATCCTGCATCGTCTGAGCAATCACGGCCCCAGTTTTTCTTGCTGGGACATCTGGGCCGCGGCAGGGTGCTGTGAGCGTGCGCACCCGGTGCTAATGTTGAACCACACCGACGAGTGAGTGCAGCACGGATCACGGCGGGGCAGTGCATGGCACGGAGTGCTACGGAGGAACTCGGGGACGTAGGGAGTGCTTGACGTTGGGCATCCGAGTCTTGCCTAGGACCCGCACAGCCGCTGTCCGCTAGATCTCGGACCTTCGCTGAGAGCATGGGCGGATGACGCAGCGGACAGGTCAACTCACCGCAAAATAGGGGAAATTCTCGGTGTCATGCATGACACAGCGCGGCGCACACGCTCAAACACCTAGTTTAGCCGTTGCAAGGTGGTCGGCAGGCGAGGGCGGTGGCGGCTGCGGATTGCCCGCGGAGGAAGTCTGAGCGGTACGTGTGCAAGTAATGTTGCATTTGTATCGATGTATTTTTTGCGGTGACAGGGTTAGTGTTCAGTCAGAATCACATACCGTCCGCGGCCGGCGAGGCATGAGCGTTTTGCCACGGCGTCAACTTGAACGTCCAGAGTTCCAACTTTCTGCTAAGTCATGGTATCTACCAGTTTCATGCATATGTCTGATCACTGCAACGATTGCTAGTAACGAGTGGATGTGTGCTATATACCGCTGTGTACCATCGGGCGACCCTGGGGCCTGGTCGCAACCTCCCTGCGTACTACCCATCCTTGAAAGATACACAACGGTTGGTATCTCTGAAACATTGCCATGAATCCTGTATAGCTATAGGGCGAGGTTCGTAATAGTCGACCGAGGAGGAGCGCGTACATCCTTCCAGAGAGACGTGCCATATGCTCGAAAGTGACCTGTAGTCGAATATTACTGGTATAGTGATAGTACGATCTAGTGTCATCCTTCTTTATCATTCTGTATGTGATACTGTGCGGTGAACCCTCATTGTATCCCGTTTAGCTCAGCTGGTAGAGCGCGTCACTAGTACGATCGCACAATGGATTGTGTAATGACGAGGTCAGTCGTTCAAGTCGGCTAATGGGAATTATTTTGCATCTGGTGTTCAAATATATGTATGGATCCCTTTCATGTGTAGTACGGTCGTAGCATTAATCGCACCACGTATGAAATTGGTGCGACGCGAGGGCGTCACAGTGATTACATCGTCCAAATCAAGTCCTGCGTCAAAATGTTTGCTACCCGCATCTGGAGTCGAGAGTCGAGACAGACCTAAGCGGAGACCGGCCACACAATTGGTCTCTCAGTTCGCTTTGTTGCAGGAAAAGTAGTAGAAAAAAACAAGCCGTTCCCGTTAGCCGACTTAAACGACTAATCTCGTCATCCCACAATCCATTGTGCGATCGTACTAGTGACGCGCTCTACCAGCTGAGCTAAACGGGATGTGCTCCCCGTCACACGTCCGTACAACCTGGAAGGTCTGCGGCACGATTTGAGCGCGCTATCGCCGCAGTATATATGCAGGGCAGTACTCGCTGCTACATGATACTTACATATGTGCGAAAAGAGCAGTGATATACTACATCGTACGTGCCTACGCCGTGAGTATCCGGAACGGATCAGACCCACCTCCCTCCAGCCCCGCGAGCACGGCATGGCGCACTGCGCCGAGGTAGTCGCCCAGCCTGCGCCCGATCTGGCTCGAGAAGTCGTCGTAGAGACGATACCGCGAGTCCGCGACGACGTTGACGAGGGTCAACGCGTATTTTAGGTTTCTGCAGAGAGCAAGGCGTTTGAGTCGACAAACATTCGAAGGAAACCATGGAGCCGGAGCAGGCGTACTCTGGTATCCGGCCGCGCGAGTTGACGAGGGTCGCGTGCAGGCGGATGATGAGTTCCGGGATGTAAATCTGGCGGATGCGCACGAGATCTCGCTGGCGCTTCGCGCCTGTGACGATCGCGACGTCAGCACCTTTTACGGTCAAGCAAGGAGGTAGGAAACTTGCCACCTGCGCGCGAGTCGGGGTCGCCTACCAGCCATTCTGTCGTGAGTAGCTTCACGACCTGCTCGTGGGCTTGCTCGATCAGGGTCTGCAACTCCCATCGTCGATATCAGCACACCCCGGTAGACGGGAAAAAGAGCGAGGCATGATCAAAACCCACCTTATAATCGCTGAGCCACGCTGCGCGCGTGTCTTTGTTCATCTGCGGCTGCTCGAGCGCCTCGCACTCGTTCACCCGCGCAAGAGCATCCCACACGCCGAAGAACTGGCGGTAGTGCATGTACTCGGTCGCCTCCTCTTCTGGCTCGCGCAGTGTGCCGAGATCCGGCGGGAGCATGTCCAGAAGGCTCTGAGCGACCTGCACACGGCCGTGGCCTGAGGGAGGAGCGTGTCGGCTCAGCATGCGAGCTATGATGCGGGGGTGTAGGAGGGGACGAAGACGCACCGAGGAAGTAGCGTAGGATGACATTGGTTTGTTCAAGCGCGGTATCGTACGTCGACTCGAGGAACGTGGTCCACTCGATCGAACGTACGAGCAGCCATTCCGCATCGGTAGGGGGAGGCTCCATCGCACTGACAAACGGCAACGCGCCCCTTGTCGGTGGCAGGATCTACGCGGGCAGGCGGTTTATCAACATAGTGTAGGATGTTGAGACGAGAAGGAGCGTAGAGACGCACGGTGAACGCCTTTTCGATTGTCCTCTCAGCGGTGACAATCGCTACGCGCTCAATGTCGAGACCATGCTCTCGCGCGCGGGTGAGCGCCAGTCGGCGCTCATTAATGTCAGCGGACAGCTCGAGGGAGGTGAGGAAGAGCGCATAGCGCTCCACGGCGTTGTCGCCCAATGCTCCCGCATACATGGCGATTAGCTCGCGCTGACCTGCTGCCTGCATAGAGAAACACTGACAGTGAGATAGGGCGACTTGAGTAATGAGGAAAACGCACCTCAAGGACCTGCAGGTACGCTTCGAGTATGATCTGCGTGGCTAATGGAGATACAGACATATCAATCATCTGAAGGAATAAGCAAAGGTGCGCAAAGAAACGCGTCATTGTTGTGTATCTGATAAGTGTCAGTATGTACAGTAGCGACACCAGTATGTATTCAAGCTTACTCGGGTGACGAGACGTATGTGCCTTCTTGAAGCCCGGTCGCGAACGCCTCGAGCAACGAGTCCGTCCGGTCGAGAATGATGTGTAGCTGCGAGACGTGGTAAGGATGATCCGCGGGGGCACTGCACGGATGGGTTCAACTTGTGCGCGCAATTCTATGACCTCTCGTACTCACCCGTCAGCGACTTGCACGTTAGAAAGGCCTTCAAGCGCTTGCACGACCTCTTGCTCCCACTCCTCTTCGACGTCTTCTTCTGCATCATCCACTGGAGCAGCCGCGCCGCTCTCGAGCGCACCGAGACCGTTCTCCCAGAAACATTCGCGTTCGATAGCGGAAAGGCCCACACTGAGACGCTCTTCGCATGCGAGGCTGACAAGAGCCCACAGGTGATCCTCCCATGTTCGCGCAATGGCCTTGAGCGAGATCGATGTTTGCGCAGTTGGTGCGAGCGCTGCATACAGAGCGCGTTCCGTGAGAGAAAGCGTGTTCTGCGGGGAGACAGGATTGGTGCGCGAGATTGATCATAGCTTCAAGATACATACGCTGAGTGCGGCTTGGGAGCATATTTTCTTCCATAGTCGTCGGCGGACGTTTCCCCGCCACTGCTGCGAGTCTTCAGCATCCTCATCGTCCATCGCATCTACTTCACGGGGCTCGTTTGCTATTTGAAGGCCGACCTCAATACGCATCTCACGCTTGAGCATGGGTGTGCAGACATACCAATCGCTCGCCACTGGAAGAGCAGGGCACCGCGAATGCTAGCTGCTCGCCATGGTTGGTTGGCTTTCCTGCATAGTTCGACTGCTTCTTCAAGCTGACCCGCGCGGACATGTGCATATAGCGCGTGGAGGACGGCTTTCTCGTAGGCCTAGCATGGATGGTCAGCACCAAACACGTCTCCATGCAACATCTCTGGCCTGCCTGGGCAGACGCGGGGAGGGGGCACACCCATTACTTACTGCATCATCTGGCGCAAGCCCTTTCTCCTCCACGCCATCCCTATTGACCGCGTCTGGGTCGAGCTCTGCAACCAGCCCAGCACCCGTCCGGCCCGTCCGTTTCCCTTGCAGGACTGCGTTCCGTGTGAACCGCAAGTAGCCGTTCGTCGCGCCGGGTTCGAGGGTAGGGGCGGGCACCGAGTCGTGCAGCCATTCGCGGACGACGACGAGTTCAGATAGAAGTGGTGATGAGTTCATGATAGATTGGACGAGCGTGGCGGGTGGCGTGTAAGGGTTGACGGAGAGGAGTTCGCGAGGATGGGGATACTCCGGGGGAGTGGTTTTGCGTATTCTAGAGGGCTCGTAAGAGCTGCAATGGCTAGTCAGAGGTCATGCTACATACGACATGAGGGATTGCAGCAACGCCCATGTGTCGCTCTCCATCTTCAAAGCGTCCAGCTCGGGTATTGAGATCGAAATGTCCGCCCCAGAGCCATCCTGTAATTCCGCTAATCTGCATAGACGATGAGGCAGCCGCAGCTCGTAGATTCAAAGGGATACGCACTGCTGATTGCATATTTCGCGAAGCCTCGGCGCAAATCCAGTCTCGGGATGGAGGAGAGCCTCGAGGTTGTCCTTGTTCGCCTGACAAACTGATAGTACCTCCGCGCAGGACGCGTATAGAGACTCCGACATGCCGCGTGTAAGCCCCAAGCTATAGTACAGTGCAAGCTTTTGTTTCAAATGGACAGCGAGAGCACAAGCGAGAGTCGGGAGACGAGGGGAGGTTGGTAGGGGAAAGGACGAGACGGGCGCTAACGCGCAACGCGCTTGTGGCTGGGCGCCAACTCGTTTATGTGTTCCAGCTAGCACTCTGACAGAGCGTGATTAGCCTTGGGAAGGTTGGAATGTTTCTGAAACGCTACTAGACATGATATCTACAGCCTCATCTAGAATATATGCAACCGCGAAAATTCGCAGGTTTACCGGAGAGATCGGATCGGGAAGTCAATAGCTTCTGATCCTAACAGTGGCAAATACCGACGAAAGTCAAGGAGCTTCGTAAGATGCAGATTAATCCGACCCCACTACTGCCTACAACTGCGTCTCGAGCTCGTCCGACGATCGTAGCCGCGTGCAGATGGGACACCCGAATGTGCAAGCCCCCGGAACGCAAGTGTCCTGGACCAGCTAGCAGCGCTCATAAAGGGTGAGGATGTCGGACGGAATCATGCACAAGACTTGTAGGAATCTGCCGATAGAAACATACAAACATTAATGCACAACATGAAGCGTTTATCGTCGCATCCCATCCACGTATACACATAATGTGCCCAACGTTGCGATTTGAATGCGGCCCTTGGATCGTGCCACAAGACAAACGTCTCCCTCGCAATTCACCTGTATGTACGAGTGCTACGTACTATGATTTTATAACGACTTCGACGGTGTGATCTCCCAGCACGCGGAACTCCTCTCTCACAACCTCTCCACACCTTTCAACCATGTCACCGTACCGAAGATTCTCTAGGGGCGATGCAATTATTGACAGTTGCTCCGAAAGACTCTGTCCGAGAATTGGGATTTTGAGAGATTCCAAGGTGATTCGCACGTGTTTGAGGCTCGTGCGAGCCCTCGGGTTCAGGGAACGCATGTGTTTCGTCCACGTCTCCGCGTTCGCTCGCGCGTCGAAAGGAATCTTCAGTATCACCTCGTATATTTGGAGGGCTACGTAGGGAGATGTTGTCTGTGTGGTAGGGCTCGTGTATGGTCGAGTGAACAGGGAAGATAACAGATCCAGGAAGACGTCGATGGTCTCTGAACTGGTGGTGTCGGGATCGTGGAAGGACCATGGCTCGTAACGGATGCAGAGTGAGGTCAAAGAGTGTGGCCACTGCTCCGCGCACGCAAGGAAGTCACTAGATTCTATGTCCCATGCTATCGTTGCAGAAGGAGGTGTTAATCAGAGGTACACACCCTTAGAGAGGTAGATGTGCATACCGTCCGCAGTTTTCTTGACTCCTGCCCTCTCATATAAAGTGAGGTCGATACACTGGAGATTGTTGTTGCCCCGACACAGCGCTGCCATCCACCTGTTGCGTCTGTTATTTTCTGCGGTGTCAGCGACATGGATTTTGATCGTGTGCAGGCTTATGACAGCTCCGGCATCTCGACCACGCTCCAGGACTTGAAGTAGAACATCATTCGGGCTCTGCAATCTGTCCCCAGTATCTGTTTGGATGGCGCGTGACGGAGGGTCCACGACTCGTAGAGATTTCAAGCGTGTGCAGAATGATACAGCCTCCTGCTCAGTGGGCCCAACGTCCGGTATAGCACGATAGCCCCCTCGCAAGACAACTCGTGGAGTGAGGTTTTCAAACGATAAC